CCAACTTGCCTCAACACACCTGCCTGGAAGTTTCAAGTATGCCTAGTAAGACATTGATTAGATGGTTCAGGTGTATTTAATTAGGGTTGGAGTTAAACTCTGCATGACACCGACCCTCCAGGACTAAGTTTGGAGACCCCTGATTCTGATCGGTGTGTAAACTACAGTAATAATGCTAAGATGTGTAAGTGGTTGCAGTGTGAATGTTGTTTTCTCTGTATCTCTCTATCTAGGGAGCTGATCAGTGTACTCAGTGTGCTCACTTCAAAGATGGGACGCAGTGCGTGGCACTGTGTGCCCAAGGTGTGCAAGGCCTTTATAACAAGCTTGTCTGGACGTACCCAGACAAAAATAGACAGTGTCAGCCATGCCATGCCAACTGCACGCAAGGGTAGGAACAAGTTAAACCTTAAGTTATAATGATTAAAGTGAAATAATAATAATATTCAAAATGTTTCTGTTATAATAGGTGCAGTGGACCAGGACTGGAAGTTTGTGAACTGAAAGGGTACAGTAGTTTATGTGTTGTTATTACTAGACTTCATTAAGTAGAGAAGTCATATAAAAGCCATTATCATCCAAGCAAATCAAGAATCAATGAAAAATATAAACACAGATGTGTTTTTTCTGAATTAAAGTTTACTTGTTGAATATCCTGTTTCACTCAGAAATACATTAGAATATGGAAGTACAATGGCTTGTGAATACTGTTTAATTTGCTGACTTGAAGCTCAAGGGATTCATATAAAAAAAAAAAATTTTTTAATGAAAGTAAATGACTTGATATCCTCTTTCTAGATCTCACATGCCTGTAGTGGCGGCTGGTCTTGTTGGAGGCATGCTACTGCTTATGGTCCTCCTCCTTTTCATCTTCGTCATTTTCCGCAGACGATACATCCGACGAAAGAGGACCCTACGGCGCCTGCTTCAGGAGAGAGAGGTAAGACACGAAAATGAATTACAAGTTAAGCAACACATATGATCCCCATTTATAACCGTATTTACATCATTCTGCAGTTGGTCGAACCGCTGACTCCCAGTGGGGAAGCACCCAACCAGGCTCTCCTTCGCATCCTAAAGGAAACAGAACTGAAGAAAATAAAAGTCCTTGGGTCTGGAGCATTTGGCACCGTCTTTAAGGTACATTTATGAATACAAATGAATAAAAAACACACTACAGTAATCTAGCAGGACAAATTAAGATGTTTAAATTATTAATGTGACTTTCAGAGAAATATATCAAAATTTAAGATTAATATTTTAACAAGGAAAAAACACCTGACAATGGGTTATGAAAATTATTATTAAATATTGTTATTAATTATTATTATTGTTAATAATAATAATAATCTCTTTTCTAGACTACTATGTTTTAGTCCAGATTAAAATGCAAAAATATATATGCGCAAACAAACATGTAAATGAAAACATGTAAATTCTGTTCTGACTTTCTTTCTTCATGTGACAAGCAAGTAAACACAGAAAGTTGAGAGGTAACCATGGTAACCCCTGCATTTCTGCTCTTCCATAAGCACCACCTCCTGGCAAAGATTGAACTTGCATTTTTATTAATCCCGTCTGCTGATTTTGTTCAGATCAATGCGAAAATCAGACTGAATTTTTTTTAAGCAGCAAACACAGAGTTCTGTCAAATTGAACTGGTTGCTTATATGAAAATGTTTAAATAAGCTAATATATGTCCTAGAAATCTAAACAGTTCAGATAATAAGGTATTTGGAATTACTCACGTATTTTGAAGTGTCCATGATAACACCGTGCACGACACTGACACTGTTTTTTTACACTGGTACAGCGCCTTAAAAGCCATTTCAACATTATCTTTATAAAATCCATTACTTACCCTTATCTTGCTCACTTTCTTTCCTGTTTTTTCCTCTTCCCTGCACCAGATTGATAGTGATGCGCGGCCCTTGCGTAATTTGCGAGGCCCTACGCAACTTGCGTAGTGAGCTTATAGGGCCGATCGGATTCCTAGAATTAAAGATGCAATTATCTTTTTTTTATACCATATTTTTTATACTTCAAGATGGGAGTGCAATTTTGAAGAAAAAAAGTAATCCTTCATAAATAAATAAAATTGCTCCACCTCTGAAACTTTACTGTTTTACCTGGAAATACGTCACATTTAACACATTTAACACATAAGACTCATTCAAAGTCATCATGGAAGTTCTAAGAAATATTTTCAGAATAGAAATAATTCTGTTTTTGTCCAAGGGTTTGTGGATCCCAGAGGGTGAGGATGTGAAAGTTCCTGTTGCTATCAAAGTTCTGAGAGAGGTTGCATCTCCCAAAGCCAACAAAGAGATCCTAGATGTGGGTATCATCCTTTTTACTAATGATTAATAATTGTCCTGGATTTAAAGCTTGTATTTTGGTCTTTCAGGAGGCCTATGTGATGGCCGGTGTGGATCATCCTCACGTGTGTCGTCTGTTGGGAATATGCCTCACGTCCAGCGTCCAACTCATAACCCAGATCGTGCCCTTCGGCTCCCTGCTGGATTACGTACAGGAGAATAAAGACAATATCGGCTCACAGACTCTGTTAAACTGGTGTGTGCAGATCGCCAAGGTGAGTTCAAAGTTTGTGTCCTCCTATGTCCAAAAAAATAATAATAATAAAATACAAAAATTATATATATATATATATATAAAGTAACTCCAAATATCAATCTCAAGATGCATGAATATGTTTGCTCTTTAAAAATGAACTTGTATCATTCAGAAGTTTGGGGTCAGTAAGATTTTTAAAATGTTTTTGAAAGAAGTCTCCTGTGCTCACCAAGGCTGCTTTTATTAAAAATAAATATAGTATATATAGTATGTAATATTGTAAAATATTATTACAACTTAGAATCACTATTTTCTGTTTTAATATATTTAAAAGTGTAATTTATTCCTATGATGAAAAGCTGAATTTTCAGCATCATTAATTCAGTCTTCAGTGTCAGTGAATGGGTGCCGTCAGAATGAGAGTCCAAACAGCTGGTAAAAACATCACAATAATCTACTCCACTCCAGTCCATCAATCTTGTGAAGTGAAAAGCTGCATCCATCAAGACGTTTTAATTTAAAACCATCGCTTCTGGATAGAATAGGAGTACATAATCCATAATAACGCTTCCTCCAGTCCATCCACTGTTGTCATTTCACAATAAACTGTTATGGACTGTTTTCACTTGTTCACGGTGCTTGATCTGTGCATATTTCTCACCTGATTCCGGCAAAATGACTTTTTTCACTGGAGAAAACAACATTATGGATAGAGGACTATTTTAGCTGGAAGCAACGGTTTGAAGATAAAAACAAACGTCTTAATGATGGATATGTTTCTTACAAACACCGTTTTTCTCTTCATAAGATGTTAATTGATGGACTGGAGTCGTGTGGATTATTGTGATGTTTTTATCAGCTGTTTGGACTCTCATTATGACGGCACCCATTCACTGCAGAGCATCCATTGCTGAGCAAGTTTCTCCAAATCTGTTCTGATGAAGAAACAAACTCACATTCTGTACATCTCGGATGGCTTTAGTAAATCAGCATTAACACAGATTAATAAATGCTGTGAAAAAGTTTATGATAGTTCATTATATTTATCACAATAACACTTTATTTGTAAAGTGTTAATTAATGAATTTACTCTTCAGGGGTCACTGTGTGGGAGTTGATGACATTTGGATCCAAACCATATGATGGAATCCCAGCCAGAGAGATTGCAGATATTCTGGAGAAGGGAGAGCGTTTGCCACAGCCGTCCATCTGCACTATTGATGTGTATATGATCATGGTCAAATGTGAGTGCTAAAGTTGCAATAGAGAGGAGAACAGAAAATTATCATTCAAATGGAATGTAATGGTAGCTACAATGTGGCTATATGGCTTATTATGCATCACATAAACATTTCAGATGAACATGAGAAAAGACATTGTGAACTATATAGATTGATATACAACATAATAGCGTAATACATAATAGCACAGTTGAACGTCAGTTGAAATGACAGGACATACATTTATGTCTACCTCTAGGTTGGATGATTGACGCTGACAGCAGACCTCACTTCCGTGAACTTGTAGCAGAGTTTTCAAAAATGGCCCGAGATCCATCCCGCTACCTTGTCATTCAGGTAGTTCACAAAAAAGATCTGTGCATTGCTTTTAGGAACGAAAGATAAAATCACATAATTGTAGAAGTTTATATATTTTAAAAATGAATTACTCAAATGAGAGTTTTTCATTTGGCATTATACACAGGGAGATGATCACATGTTCCAGCCCAGCCTGACGGATTCGAAGTTCTGCATGACGTGGATCAGTACAGAAGATATGGATGGTGTGGTAGATGCAGAGGAATACCTGCTACCCAACAAACGATTCTTCAACCAATCACAACCACCACCGATGCCTCAGTATCACAATACAGCAGTCAGTATCTCCTTCTATGGAATATTATCATTTAAAATGTTATTAGCCAAGTACATGTCATCAGATATGATTCGTTGATCTTTTGTGTATTGTTTTAAGGACAACTACACGAATGGTGTGATGTTGCGCTACATTACAGACCCCACGCTTACAGACCTCATGCTGCCAGGTATTACCATACATTTTATGAGTTTTAAAAAATGATTTTTGAAACCAAAATGAGGCAAATATTTAGTGTTATTTTAGTATTATTTATATACAGTTATAGCATTTTTTAATATTTTGAATTTTATTGATATGTACTATATATATATATATACACACACTTTTATAAATGTTTGTTTATTTTAATAATTTTGAAATGTGTCTGTAATTTTGTAAAATGTTGTTTTAATACATTTTTCAGTTTTAGTAATGTTATTACTGCAACTTAAACTTAAGTTAGTTCAACATTTCGTTTTTTTTTTTTTAGTTTTTCATCTAAGATTTATATTTAATTTTATTTCGGCTTTATTTCAGGTACCAAAAATAATTTGTATAGTTTTATCTTTTGTTTTAGTTAACAATAACAATAATGGTATGGACTGTCACACTTACCAATGTTGTTTATGTCAACAACCTATATATTTGGCAATTATTTATTCTCATCTTTTAATTATATTTTTTGCCTTTATACTAATGACAGCACTCATTAATCAACAAATAAAACTGTAAATGAAACTGTTAGCCATAAAGACACATTTTCATCCGCTGTCCCTGTCCAGTTCTTAAGCAGCAAACTAAATAAAAAAAATTCATAAAAAAAAAAAATTCATAAATATAACAAAAAGATCTGTGCCTTCCTTCTAGAAATGAAAAATAAAATCACCTTGAACTGACATTATTTTTGCAAAGAAATTATTTTAAATTGTAATTGATTAATGCTGTTAATTGGTTTTGTACTTTTTTATATGATGTAGTATATTATGTATTATAGTATAATATATATAAAAAAAGAATCAAATGTGATTTATTTTAAAATGATTAATTTCATGATTTATTTCATCAAAATGATTTATTTATTTTATTACTTTTTTATTATATTGATTTATCACACTGACATTTATTTTATGTATATAATCTGTTGTCTTTGGCCAGGCAACCTAAATGTAAAAAATAATCAAAATATTATTACAAATCTCTTTCCCACAGAGTACATTAACCAGGATGTAACCACAAGAAGCAATATGATAAACCCAAACTACGAGGGTCCGGCCCGTGGACAGACAGAAAACGGATATATAGTCACGTACGGATGTAAACCTGACGGGCCGGAGTACCTAAACACCTCCTGCGCTACTCTACCACGCTCCCCATGCGCCAACCACGATAACCCAGACTACCAGCAGAACTTCTTGCCCTCGTCCACCACTGATGTTCCTTTCCTCCCCGCGGCGGAGAACTTACACTACCTGGGGCTCAGCACAGCCATGCAGTCTCACATACGTTAGATCAACGGTAGGAAAGTATGAATTGCACTGCTTGGACTTCTGGGAATCGCACAAGACATGTGTTAATATTGTAGCTATGCTAAGAACAGTGAGGACGTCAGGTCCGGATATGCTTGAAGGCAACTGCCGTAATTATCTTGTTCTTAAAGGGGGTGTGGTTGTGAGACACAAAGCTGTGAGTAATGTGTTGAATGTCAAGCTAGAGCACATTTCAGTAGTTCTGTATAATATGGGTAATAGTTAATGCTTTTGATGAATGTTGTCATCGGATGTAGCTTAATTTATTGAACCAAAACATAATTGAGCTATTAATACTTCATATAGTTAAGCTGTCATCATTTTAACACTGATTTAGTAATTAACCTTGGATAGTATTTGTAAACCTCTGAAAATGGTCACTTAGAAAAGTCAACATTGAACGGCATTCACAACCCATGTTACTTCTGCGATATACAGCGTTCAAAACGTTTACGGTTAGGATGTATTAATTATTATCATAAATTAATATTTATGTTAATTGCAACTTTTTCTCTCACACTTTGGACTTTTTTTCCTCCTAATTCTGAGTTTGTATCTCGTGTTGTAGACTTTTTCTTTTCTCAGAATTGTGAGGCTATAAACACTCACACAATACCAAGTTTACATCTTGCATTTCTGAGTTTATATCTCACAATTCTGACATTTCTCTAAATTCTGGGTTTACATCTCACGGTTTTTTTTTTTTTGATAATAATTGGAAATGTTTCTTGAGCAGCAAATTAGCATATTAGAATGATTTCTGAAGGATCATATGACACTGTAGACTGGAGTAATGATGCTGAGAATTCAGCTTTGCATCACAGGAATAAATTACAGTTTAAAATATTTGAAAATAGTAAACGATTATTTTAAATTGCAATAATATTTCACAATATTACTGTATTGTTAATCAAATAAATGCAGCCTTAGCGAGCATAAGAGAATTCATTCGAAAACGTTAAAATAATCTTACCGACCCCAAACTTTTGAACAGTACTGTAATTCGGAATGAAATAGGATATTCAAGAAAATCATTTTATTGTTACATACCAGAATAGAGAAGGCTGAAAGGGAGGAACTCATTATGACTGAAAAGGAAAAGGTTGCAGCTACAGTATCGGCTGAAAAGTAAAGTTATTTTAGAGACATAGCAGGTTATCACATTTTGATAAACGATTACTAAAACAAATGTTTTTATTTGGAATAAGGTGCACCAATGATTAGTGCGCAATATTGCAAAGAATGTGCATTAAGAATGTAAATAATACAAATATTCTATTCAAATATTCAAGCACAGTGTGAAACTCTCTCCTCTTTACCAGAATAACTGCTTGAGTAACACCAGAAATGGTTGTAAATATAATAATGTTCACTGTCAACATGAATGTTATTATGTCCACGACACGTAAAAATTCACCAACACAATGTAAATGTACATAAAAGCTACCTGCGGTCATACAAACACTGACTTTTAACCCTGGACTGCAGTTAATGGACCCACTAATTAATTTTTCAAGTGACCGTCCACATTTGGTTTTAATAATTTAACAACTGTTGTATTAATTGAAAGAACCACTGTTGGGCTAAAAGGCTTTCTGATGTTAAAAGATTCTTATAACACTTTTTCATTCTGTTTTAAATGGCTGAGTTAACAAATCAGACTGCTTGATTTCTGTCGGACACATTCACCCATGTGTGCACATATCACACAATCTACTTCTAAACTTAAGGTAAAAACAGGCCATTATGATATTTGAACTCTACAGGATCCCGTTAATATTGAATTAAGTGTTACTTAAAATTTGTTGGCCACATCCACTTCATTGCTCAAAAATGTTGAATATAGTCAGAAAGACGTCTTAAAATGTAAGTTTGAGTGTGAAACCTGTTCTACTTCACTGTGAGACATCCATATTTACTGCACAGACATCCATATTTAGTACAGTATGTAAATGTACTTCATGTAGCACAATCCTCCTGAGGTCTACTGTATTATGCACCTGTGAATGTCAGTTTTAGGATTTTTAGATTTAAAATGTGATTTAAATCTGTATGGACACTTTGTTACATTGCAGTGTTAATAAATTGTGTTGAAATGTGAAAAGTATTTTATGTGAATTAAAACATCAGTGATGCACGATGGACCCTTTTCACAGACTGTGATGACGTATTTACAGAATTATTAACATCAAGCAAAGTTTTTTATGATTTCATTTTTTTTATTTAGTGTACATTATAACACAATACTTATTTATTTCTTACCTTAGCATTAAATTACTCAAAACTAGTTAAGACTGCTATGTGAGTGTTTCTAATACGCCGGCTGAGGATATAAATGATATTGTGGATTTGACTTTTGCAAACAGTAACATAAAAATATGTTTGTTGTCATTACCATTCACCACTATAGAAATTTACCAAACTATGATGACTTCAGCTTCTGAAATCCCCGGAAATGTGAAAAAGAGTCCATGGCCAGAAGTCATCCGTTTAGACAGAAAGCATTAATTTAGGGTACATTTCTTACCACAAGAAAAAAAAAATAGAAAGAACAATATGCTTTTTCAATAAAACAACTTAGTTTCAGTTGATATATTTCATCAGTGTAACTTATATACTAGTAGCCAAGCTTATTAATTTGTAGACTGGAGTAATGATGCTGAGAATTCAGCTTTGCATCACAGGAATAAATTACAGTTTAAAATATTTGAAAATAGTAAACGATTATTTTAAATTGCAATAATATTTCACAATATTACTGTATTGTTAATCAAATAAATGCAGCCTTAGCGAGCATAAGAGAATTCATTCGAAAACGTTAAAATAATCTTACCGACCCCAAACTTTTGAACAGTACTGTAATTCGGAATGAAATAGGATATTCAAGAAAATCATTTTATTGTTACATACCAGAATAGAGAAGGCTGAAAGGGAGGAACTCATTATGACTGAAAAGGAAAAGGTTGCAGCTACAGTATCGGCTGAAAAGTAAAGTTATTTTAGAGACATAGCAGGTTATCACATTTTGATAAACGATTACTAAAACAAATGTTTTTATTTGGAATAAGGTGCACCAATGATTAGTGCGCAATATTGCAAAGAATGTGCATTAAGAATGTAAATAATACAAATATTCTATTCAAATATTCAAGCACAGTGTGAAACTCTCTCCTCTTTACCAGAATAACTGCTTGAGTAACACCAGAAATGGTTGTAAATATAATAATGTTCACTGTCAACATGAATGTTATTATGTCCACGACACGTAAAAATTCACCAACACAATGTAAATGTACATAAAAGCTACCTGCGGTCATACAAACACTGACTTTTAACCCTGGACTGCAGTTAATGGACCCACTAATTAATTTTTCAAGTGACCGTCCACATTTGGTTTTAATAATTTAACAACTGTTGTATTAATTGAAAGAACCACTGTTGGGCTAAAAGGCTTTCTGATGTTAAAAGATTCTTATAACACTTTTTCATTCTGTTTTAAATGGCTGGGTTAACAAATCAGACTGCTTGATTTCTGTCGGACACATTCACCCAAGTGTGCACATATCACACAATCTACTTCTAAACTTAAGGTAAAAACAGGCCATTATGATATTTGAACTCTACAGGATCCCGTTAATATTGAATTAAGTGTTACTTAAAATTTGTTGGCCACATCCACTTCATTGCTCAAAAATGTTGAATATAGTCAGAAAGACGTCTTAAAATGTAAGTTTGAGTGTGAAACCTGTTCTACTTCACTGTGAGACATCCATATTTACTGCACAGACATCCATATTTAGTACAGTATGTAAATGTACTTCATGTAGCACAATCCTCCTGAGGTCTACTGTATTATGCACCTGTGAATGTCAGTTTTAGGATTTTTAGATTTAAAATGTGATTTAAATCTGTATGGACACTTTGTTACATTGCAGTGTTAATAAATTGTGTTGAAATGTGAAAAGTATTTTATGTGAATAAAGGTCTTTTATGTGAATTAAAACATCAGTGATGCACGATGGACCCTTTTCACAGACTGTGATGACGTATTTACAGAATTATTAACATCAAGCAAAGTTTTTTATGATTTCATTTTTTTTATTTAGTGTACATTATAACACAATACTTATTTATTTCTTACCTTAGCATTAAATTATTCAAAACTAGTTAAGACTGCTATGTGAGTGTTTCTAATACGCCGGCTGAGGATATAAATGATATTGTGGATTTGACTTTTGCAAACAGTAACATAAAAATATGTTTGTTGTCATTACCATTCACCACTATAGAAATTTACCAAACTATGATGACTTCAGCTTCTGAAATCCCCGGAAATGTGAAAAAGAGTCCATGGCCAGAAGTAATCCGTTTAGACAGAAAGCATTAATTTAGGGTACATTTCTTACCACAAGAAAAAAAAAATAGAAAGAACAATATGCTTTTTCAATAAAACAACTTAGTTTCAGTTGATATATTTCATCAGTGTAACTTATATGCTAGTAGCCAAGCTTATTCATTTTGATTTTTATTTAGTGTACATTATAACACAATACTTATTTATTTCTTACCTTAGCATTAAATTATTCAAAACTAGTTAAGACTGCTATGTGAGTGTTTCTAATACGCCGGCTGAGGATATAAATGATATTGTGGATTTGACTTTTGCAAACAGTAACATAAAAATATGTTTGTTGTCATTACCATTCACCACTATAGAAATTTACCAAACTATGATGACTTCAGCTTCTGAAATCCCCGGAAATGTGAAAAAGAGTCCATGGCCAGAAGTCATCCGTTTAGACAGAAAGCATTAATTTAGGGTACATTTCTTACCACAAGAAAAAAAAAATAGAAAGAACAATATGCTTTTTCAATAAAACAACTTAGTTTCAGTTGATATATTTCATCAGTGTAACTTATATACTAGTAGCCAAGCTTATTAATTTTGATTTTAAAGAAAAATGTTTTTTTTTTAGATTGTCAACTAGGTTACGGACAAACTGTATGGGTTGACAGGTAACATAGTTGACAATTTCACCATTTTGACTCGTAATTCTCAATGGCACGACTTGTACCAAATGTTATTTCCTTGATCAGGTTGATCTCAAATTACATTTATTTGCATAAAAATCATTAAAATATTACAGACCATAACAATGTACCCGATGCTCAATTAATATACTCCTTGACAATAAGTCATTGGAGATCATATATAGAAAAAATTAAGATAACGTTTACCATAATGTGTTCAAAATGTCCACTGCAGAAGAAGGTGACGTCACATGATGCAGGTCACATCTTTTTATGGTGAAGCATATTTTAGTTTTCAAGGGGGCGTTTGGTTAGCAACATAGATGACAGAATTTTTAAGGACATGAGAGAAATTAAATATTTTCTTATTTGAAAGAAAATTAAATTTAAACTCGGTTTGTTTTTTAAGGTATTTAGACTGTAGATAATATAGATAATCTATATAGATAAAGGATCATAAAGGCAATTTCAAGCAAACCGAAA